TAAGTTGAAGTCATTCTCATACTTGGAAGGTTTTCTATTATGATTTCTGTAAACAAATGTTTTATTCCATGTGAATAAGAAGTCTTGTAATTTCTAATTCCACTGAGCCTTGGTTACTTTTCTTAGCATCTTCTAGAGGCTGTTGGATAAATTATTCTTGTTCATGCATCATCTTACAGTCTTCTCTGAGTGACTTGTCAAGATTTATTATTTTGTCCTAGATTTCAGAAGCCTTTTCTTCACATTGGTCACTTGTGTAATTTATGAATTCTATACAATTTATTTGCAGTATTTCTGTCTGACACTTTTTCGTGGAGTCTATTTCTTTGCTACATTTGTCATTTGTGCTTTGAACTGTTTTTGTCAGCTCGCTCTATGTTTTATTTCTCTCATATCCACAGTGAACAGTTTGTGTGATAGTTTCATTATCTTTTGGGCCATGTCTGCCTTGAAATCTCCATGTCTCTTTACCTCTTTTTAATCATCTCATAATACTCTGTAACTTGGGGGTTCCTTTCCATTGGTGTCCCCTGGATCATCTGCCTTAGGAGAGCTGTGAGCACTTAGGGGCTCTTCACTGTCTTGTTTTTCCATCTACATATATTTGGTTCTGGAGGGCTCAAATCAAGTCGAGTGAGGAGAGATTATAGCTCACATGAAGATGTTTCTAGTTTCCTTCCAGTGATCTGTTTGTGGCTGTATTTGTCCAGAGATCCCAATAGTCTTCACTGCTTTAGCTACTGAATTCAAATCATTTGAACCAGGTCACTGTATTTTTAGTGAATCTTTTCTGAGCCTTTCCAACACACTTTTTCTTCTAGTTGGCTATGCTAGAATTTCCCCCACATTTTGCATTTTGAAGTCACATTTGTCTATTATTTTCTTCTGTTGCTTGTGTGTTATGTGTCTTATTTTAGAAGCGTTGCTTAGCCTAAATTAAGAAAAAGATTTATACCTATGCTTTCTTTTAAGAGTTCTATAGTTTTAGCTCTTGGATTTAGATCTACCTGCCATGAATTAATCTTTAATAGGAGGCGAAGTACAGGTACGCGTTCATTTTTGTTTGAATGGATGGGGCTCAGAACTGGGCGTTAAAGAGACTCTTCCCCATTTGTCTTTGCATCCATATAAAAATCAATTGATCATTAATATGAAGTTTTGTTTTTGTACTAAAAATTCCATTTCTTTATTCTCTTTTCCATCCCTTGAATAGTACTGCATGGTCTCAGGTACTGTTAACTCATGTTTGAAAATAAAGGCAAATTACCATCATGATTGTAAACAGTGAATTTAATTTTATCCTGTTTTCAAGGCTGTTTGACTACTCTGGATTCCTTGCATTTCCACATGAATTTTCAGATTGGCTCTTGTCAATTTTTTCAAAGTGCATCAAATTTTCATAGAGACTATTGAATTCTGACAAATTTAAAGAATAGTGCCATTTTAAAAACATTAACTTTTCTTTTTTTATCAGTACCAGGGATCGAACTCATGACTGCCAGCTTGCAAGGCAGGCGCTTATGCCGCTGAGCTAAATCTTCAGCCAACATTAACTTTTCAACTGGGCAGGGAGGGAGGTTTCCCAAATTTTAGCCCACTTTGGACTCAGCAAGGTCTCCAAATAAAAACTAAGAAAGAAAGAAAGAAAGGTTTTGTGGCTGTGTATCTGTGTCTGAAGGCCCTGGTGCTGGTCAGTACCATAATTTAAAAAAAATATATATTTCCAAAACGTGACCATGATCTATCTTCTCATTTATTTAGCTCTGCAACTTTTTCCCACAATGTTATGCCATTTTAAACGTACCAGTCTTTTACCTCGTAGGTAAAATGTTTACTTAACCATTTGATTTTTGATACTTTGTAAATGGAATTGTTTTCTTAATGCTTAAAGACTTTTGAATTTTGATGCATACTTTATTATAGTTGGGTTTCTTGTAGTAATCTTACAGCATTGTAAAGTTGTTCAGAGCTACCCTCCTCTTTCCCCCAAGCATGCTTCTTTTACAGTGTAGTTGGAGCTCCTGCAGTGCAACTACAGAGAAGATTGTCTCTGCTCCTCCCCTTCTCTCTCTCATCTCGGTCGCTCTCTACATTTTCCATTTCCTACTCGGTACCTCATGTTAAAAATACTTTTCTCATGTATCTTTTAAATTCTTGATTTATTGTATTTCAAAATTATATTTTTAGGAGTTTCTTCAAGGGTTACAATTAACAACCTAGTTCATAAAAATCAAATTTTAATACAAATTTTTGATTGCATGTAAATATACTGCTCAATATCTTCTTCCTTTACGTTGTTACTGTTACATGAATTCAATTTATATATCTGTGTGCCCCCAAATACATATTTTATTTTGATGTTGTTTTGTGAAATTGTCTTTTAAATCATACTGAAAAAATGAGATATAAATAAAAAATTCTTTTGTATTATATTTATTTTCTGGTGTAGCTATCTTTACTGGTAACATTTTGTTGGTAATATTTATTTTATTGTGGGTAAATATTACTGTCTAATATACTTTCCTTTAAATCTGAAGAACTGTGTTTGAACAGTAAGTCTACTAATAATGAATTCTCCCAGATTTTATTTATCCTGTAATGTCATTTCTCTTTTAATTTTTAAACACAATTTTTCTGGATATGGAATTCTTAAATGACAGCCTTTTTCTTTCATGATCTTTTAAAATATCCAATTGTTTTCTTGCTTCTGTGGCTTCTGACAAAGGAATCTGCTGTTAATCTTACTGAAAATTCTTTGTATCAGATGTTGCTTCTCTTTAAGATTCTCTCACTGTCTTGATCTTTGTATAGTTTAATTATAACGTGTTTTGGGTTTTGATGAGACTCTCTTGATGTATTATCTGGAAGGTATATTTTCTTCCCTATACTGCTTGATTCTGATAAACTTCTTGAATACACAGATTAACATTTTAAAACCAAATTTAAGAATTTTTTTGCTATAATTAATTCAAATATTCTTTCTGACATGGTATTATTCTATTTTTTTGTTACTAATAAAACATTATTACAGACTTGGTAAGTTATTGTCTTAACTTTTTTGTCACTGAGGCACAATATCTGGTACTTGCCACTTAAAGAAGGAGACGTTGATTCTGGCTCATGATTAAAATTTATGGTCAGCAGACTAAAGCAGAAACAGGATGGCAGAGAGATAACATGAAGGAAAAGGTGCTCAACTCACAGCAGCCAAGGAGCAGAGAAAAGTGGGGAGCCAGGGAGAAAGACATGCTTTCCCAGATCATGCTCCCTTCCACTGGTCCCTTCTGACCAGGCTCCACCCACTAACGACACAGTTAGCTGTGAACTCGCTAGTGGATTAGGGCACCAGTGAGTGTGGCACCTCGTGATCCAATCACCTTTCAAAAGCCACATTTTATGAACAGGGGAAGCTTTTGAGGGACATTCTAGATCTAAAATATAACCATTTTTTTTTAAAAAAGCTGTTTATCTTGGTTCACAGTTCTGTTCCAAGGCCAAGGTGCTATATCTGGTGATAGGCTTCTTTTAGGGCAAATTCTGAGTTGACGCAGTAAATGACATAGCAAAGAAAAGAGCATATGATGTCTGTCTGTCTGTTTCTCTGTCTCTCTTTCTCTCTGTGTGTCTCACCTTGTAAAACCTCCACTGTTCAGTCATAGGCGATTAAGTCTTATGATCTTATTGAAGCCTACTTATCTTCCAAAAGCCTAACCACTAAACATCATAGATTATGTTTTTGCTCACTTGCTATCCCACAATAGGAAGTAATCTCTAATAAAAATTTTTTGAGAACACAAGTCATATTCAAACCATGTTTGTGATTTTCTATGTTTTCTTTCTTGTGGAATCCCAACTCACATTTTTTTGTTTGGTATATTTGATATATTTGTCATCATTTTCTGACAGTCTGTTTATTTCTTCTCATTACTTACCCTTTCTGCTGCTCAGACAACATAATCTGAATTGAGCTAAATTCAAATTCACTGTTATTTTCTTTTACCTGCCCAAATTAGGCATTGAGTTCTCTAGCCAACTTTTCATTTCAGGTATTATACTTTCCACTCTAGCAGTCAGACTACATAATTTTTTATTAAGTTCTGTCTCTGTGCTAATACTCTCTATTAGTGCCATTGTTCCCTTACTTTATTTTGGTTATTTAAATGTGGCACCCTTTCTTCTTTACAGTATGTTTAAAATATTCAAGTTAAAGTCTTTATAGTAAATCCAACGTCTGAGTTTTTTTTTCAGACAGTTTCTATTGATTTTCTAGTATCTATTAATGGGCCATGATTTCTTGTTTCTTAACATGTCCCATAATTTTTAGTTGCAAACTAGACATTTCATTTTATCATAGTGCTAGAGATCAAATTTAGGGCTTTTCACATGCTAGACAAATTGTCTACCACTAAATTACAGCCCGGACTTGAAAACTTGACATTTAAAGTAATTCAATGAGTCAATTTTGAAAATTGAATTCTTCCCACTCAGGATTTGTTGTTCCTGTTGTTAACTTCATGATTTAAAAACTAATTCAATAAAAGCACTGTTGTGGACAACTACTCATGTCACTGCCCATATAGTGGATAATTGGATAATTGGATAAATATTTCCTTAATTAGAATAAAGGCAATTTTATGTATGTGTTGATCATGCCTTCAACAACCAGCCAGCAGCTGACAAAGTGCCTTAATTTTCATTTCTCACTTGTATAGAACTTCAAGTTCAGTCTAAATACTAAACTAATTTATAGATTCAATGTGATTCCCATCAAACTACCAATGATTTTTCATGATAAAAGTAGAAAACGCAACCCTAAAATTCACATGAAACTACTAAAGACCCAGAATTTTTAAAGCATTTCTGAACAAAACAAAATAAAAAAAAATTATGTAGGCATCACAATACTTGTCTTCAAAACATATTACAAAGCTACAGTAAGTCAGTAACTAAATCAGCATGACATACTGGCATAAAAACAAACATAGACCAATGAAACAGAATAAAAGAACTCAGAAATTATTCTACATTCATACAGGTGAGGGATTGTTTTAAAAAGGTGCCAACAACATTCAGTGGATAAACAAATAGTATTGAAAAAACTGAATATGCATACATAGAAGAATGAAACTGAATTTGTGCTTCCCATTATGTACAAAAACCAACTCAAAATGGGTCAAAGACTTAAATGTTAACAATGCAATTGTAAGAAAACAGGGAAAACACTTCAAGACATTGATGTAGGCAACAATTTTTTTATACAGAATCCTAAGAATAGGGAACTAAAGAACAAGTAAATGGCATTATATCAAGTTAAACAATTTCAGTACAGCAATAGAAATAACAGCATTAAGAGAAAACCTATAGAACTGGTGAAATATTTGGAAACATTTCAAATACTCAACAACACATTTCTATCCTGAATGCACTAGAAACTCAAAAAACTGAACACCAAGATAAACAAACATATAAAAAACCAACAGTCCAATTTAAAAATTGTTCAAAAACCAAAAGGTATATTCACAAGGGAAGGTATAAAAATGGATAATGCTCAATTTCAGTAATCATCAGAGAAATACAAATCAAAATCATAAGGAAGTATCATTTTACCTCTATGAGAATGGCCATTATAAAAGAAGAAAAAATAAATGCTGGTAAAGATGGGAAAAAAGGAAACTTTTTTATAGTACAGGTATAAATGTAAAGTAGTACAGCTATTATGGAAAAAAGTATGGAAATTCCTCAAAAAACTAAAAATACAACTATCATATGATCCAGAAATTTTACTGCTTGGTACTATTCTAAAGGAGATGAAATTATTATACCAAAAAAGACTTACATTCCTATGTTTATTGTAGCAATATTCATTCATAGTAGTCAAAATATAGAATCAATCCAAATGTACTTAAGTGGATAAATATAAAGTGTGGTATATTTATACAATGAGATACTATTTAGCCATAAAAATAATGAAATTCTTCATTTGCAGTTACATGGATGGTGATTATATTACATGTAACAAGCCAAACATAGAGAGATAACCCCCACATGTCCTCACTCATTTATGGAAACCGACAAGTCTAACTTACAGAAAAATGAAATGCAATTGTAGTCATTAGAGACTGAGAAGCTCATAAAGGGGATGGAGAGAAATTCAATAGGAGACAAGAAAACAGAATGGATACATTCTCTGGATTCTCCTTAGGCACAGCAGGGTAACTATTGGTTTAAACAATCTGATACATTTCATAATGATTAGCAGAGAATGAAATTTCTAAGAAATAATGATGATTAATTGTTGAAGAGACAAAAACACCTATCACCCTGATTTGATGAGTGCACGATGCATATATGCACAAATCATGTACAAATATTATGTCTAAGAAACAACAATATAGTGTTAAAAGAATTTGGGTCCTTTGCTGGTGTCTCTAGAACACATAAAATCCTGATAATGCACATAGATTTCTAGATTACAAGAAACATGTCAGACCTTTTCAAAGTTCTTATTGACATCTCATTTTCCAAATTTTCTTCTCCTGCTTTGTGCATCCTCTGTTGTCTACTCCACCTGTTATCCACTCTCAGGGAGTTAGAAGGTTTAACAATGCCTCTAGAGTCAGACCTTGCTACTCTTCTACTTTGAAACTTGGCAAATTTTGTGCCTGATGCATTTTGAAAAGAAACGTTTGCCCCATAATCATTTGTTTACTACTGGACCTGCAACATCTGTCAGTGTTGATTATCTTGTGACTCAGTAACGTTTCCAACTGAAACAGTCTGATGTTCATTGTTCTTGGTACTTGCTGCAGCTCCTGGAGCCAATTCACAAGCCAGTTCCTGGAGCCGCTTTCAACAAATGTCCCCAGGAAAAGGACTCTTCACACAGCAAGTAGTTGGTCCTGGTAAAGAAAGATAATCTCCTAGATAAGGTCTATTAAGGAATCATAAGACACTAAAGACAATTCTTCGGGAATGAGGGTGGGTTGGAAGAGGTTCCAGCTCCATTCTGTGTCCTTCAGTCAGACTACTGGTTTTCCTTGAATGTGGGATGGTGGTTTCCATGGTTCCTGAACTACCAAAGCATTGAGTGCGCCAGTATGGTACAGAAACAAGGCAACTTAATGTGCTGTAATGCTCTCTGTCGAGATGCAATTTTTAAAAACTGCTCTCTAGATTGCTGTAACAATTTAATTTCTAGGCTTCTAAAAGTTGACTTTAACAACCTTTGCCAAATTTTTGTGTGTAGGGGAGATAAGTTATGAAAGTCTTTTGCCAAAAGTTTCCCAAAGTATTATAATTATGATTACTATTACTATTGAGATTGGGGTCTCTATAAGCTGCCCACGCTGGTCTCAAATTCCTGAGTTCAAGTCATCCTCCCATTTCTATCTACCAAACGCTTACTCTGTAGACACAGGTGACCACACTGACTAACTTTTGGAAGTCTAATTTAATACTCTCTCTAAACCCATGAAGCACAATAAGTGATGATCATTTTACAAATTATTAAGCTAATATTTGAGATTAAGTGGCCTGTTCTGACAGTTAGTAAAGTGATGGGGTTCAAAATCTGGTTTACTCAACTTTCAAGCTTGTACCCAACACCAAATTATTAACAGATGTAAGATGACAGAAAACAAATGTCTTAAACCTTGCTCATCTTCTCCTGGAATCACACCTCAGGAAATGTAGTAAATTACTCTATTACTTCTCTTCCTAAATTGGAGGAATCTGAAGATTCCATATACAAGAATATCACTATCTTGGAAAACTGATGCTATCTACATAAGGAGCAGTAAACTAGAAGATGATATCTGATGGCACCCCTAGAAAACTGCCCGGAAAGCCTAAACTACTTTGCCCTTCTTGGAGGAGTTTCTCTTACATGTAAGAAGGATGTCGCTTTTGTGGCTGAGTTTCCTAGTAAAGTTTTTAGCCTACATGCCTGTCGAATCACTCAGGGGCCATTTTGTGCCAAATTTGTGCCATTTGCCCTCTTCCATCTCCACGATTAGATGAAAACAAGAGCCAGTACTATGCCAATTTGAAGAATAACATTCAGCCTCCAGAAGGATTGTTTTGTTACTTCTGTCACCAGAGAATGTGGAAATATGGAGCTCCATTTTTCAAGTGAGCCATGGAAATAGAACTAACAAGCTGTCCCAGATTTACTCATATGAAAACAATAACACATTCTGTGACTTGGAGGTCTGGAGGTTTATGTTGGCACCAACTGGAATGCTAATGTGCAAAGAATCTGGTCTCTCCTCTCAACACTAACAAACACCAGTCATTTCCTACTGATTGGTTTTAACCTAACAAGCATTTTCTTGAGCCCAAAAGAATATTTCGTTTTACAGTATTTAGATTATGTTGATTACTCACTTAAGAGCCCTAAGTTGGTCAATGAAGAACAGATTGCTTCAACTTGTTAGAGACCCTCTCCACCCACTTATAGCCACTACCATCATCACCACCCAGGATTAATACTCATAAAGAGTATAAGATATCATAGGAAACAAGATCTAGAGCTTTCTTAAATGCCTCATGAACTTTGAGCAACAAAAATTCCTTAGAGCATACAATGACGACTATACACATGCACTGCTATGTAACTGGCCTACTTGTAGAACTGCATTTTCATTGTGGGGCTTTGAGTTCATCCAAAGCTTATTTATAAATGAAAAATCCCCTTTGAATGGCAGATCTTGGTTCTGAATGGCAGATACCTGGTGTTTTGGCCTTATGTGTTATAGAATGTATCTCAGTTCAGGAACTCTGAACTTTTCGACAACTAATTTTAAATTTTGTCTGGTCTTCGACATTTGCTATGTATAGATGAAGCTGGGCCATCATTTCTGGAAGATCATAATCTTGTGAGGAGATTCCTACAGATGGCATGCAGTAATATGGACCAAACCCTAGGACCAAGATTGTTATGAAATGACACTGATTCTTCAGGATGTGTAGGCCTGCTACTTTACAAAGTGTTTTTTAAAGCCAATATATCTATTTCATAGTAGTATGCAAAAAGATATTAAAATAGACAGTAAATAGGTAAATTAAAATATGCAATTTATGGGCCATTTTAAGTATCAATGAATAAAATAAAGTTATAACTGAAAAAATACTCAAGCTTTCATTTTTATGTGCTGCCACACATTGACTATGCTTAAAAATACCGCTGTTTTCTTTGTAATTAATTTTCTTCAGTTCAACTTACGTTGTAGTCCACCACTGAAGGGGCAGTTCGTGTGATGTGTAGTAGGCTAGGCTAGGTGAGATTCTTAAGATTTTATTGTGCCATGAGGAGCGAAACAAACAGCTCAAATCTTTATATCCTAGAATGGATTCTGGTAATAGTACTGTAAAAAGGGTTCTACTAACACAGACTAAGGTTTGTGGTCCTTTGGAGCAGAGAGCAAATGAGGAAGGTGGCAGAGGAGGAATCAGAAGAAGCCTCTGGGAGAAGATCAGGGATCAGACTGGAAAGAAAAGTGGAAGGTCAAGCATTGTAAGAAAAAAATGACAAGATCTTCAAAGGCATTAAGCAGCATAATATAAAAGCATGACTGTGAACTTCGCAGCTGATGGTGATACGATATGTAATTAGGGAGATGATAATGGGCCTAAAGATGTTATAGAATGACTGGTCTCCAGAGGTCTTGTGTTTCCTGAAAATAAGTCTTTTCCAAGAAGCCAGGGGAAATTGTGTGAACCGAGCAGTGATACGATCAGGCTGTTTTAGATGGAAGCCTTGCTGCACCCAGGGGGATGAATTTAAGATAGAAACAGAAAAATGTGGGGTGCAATGTATTTGTTAGGGTGAGAGGTAGTAAAGGCCAGTGCTTTGGAAGAAGTGATTCCAGCACAGAGAAAAGGACTGGATCAAGGAAAATATCTAAGCCTGAACAATTAACACTTAGTAGTTGACCAGATATTGTGAGAAGGGAGAGCTAGAGAAAGGATGGAAAAATGAGGACCATGAACTAAGAGAGATTATAGAGAAGAAGTAACACTGAACCAGCAGGTGTACTGAGTGTGAGGTACAGAGGGACACATCTGCTAAGTTTCCGAGAATGGACTAAGGATAATTAAAATCACGTGAATCTCCCACGAGACATGTACAGAAAATTAGAATACTTGGTATTTTGCAATTACAAACATTTAGAATGTTATAACATGAAAGACTGACTTGCTTGAAAGGATAAGTGTCCACATATGCACGCATGTGTGCACACACACCCAAAACAAATTTATTTATCATTTCAGGGATCACAGAACTTGGTTGAAGCCTTCTATGAAAAGCAAGAATAGTGCCCTATGGCCAGAGGTAGAGAGTACTGGATTATAGTTTCTGGCTCAGAAATCAAGCTTCGTCTCCTCTAGATGGCCCTGGAAAGTTCACCTGATCTTGAAATAGGTAAAAAGAAATAAAGTTTAGTAATCACCATTCTTCCTCAGTTTTGGGGTTGACAGTAATTCTAGAAAATTGAGAACCACTAACCAGGAAAAACTGCCTCTCTTAGTCTAATTTTCTTGCCTTCCCATCACACTGCCAAGGGCTCAGCTCAGTTGATGATGCACAATGACAAATCCACCCTCCAATTACGTGCAATAATCAGGTGCTTTCTAAGTTCTTGCCTAACGTGTGCTTGGCATAGAACAATTTTTCCAAGGAAGTTTTATACCCTATAGTTCTACTGTAGTTTATGTCTTGCAATGTATGGGGGTGTGGCAGGTGCTAAGGCAGAGAAAAGATAGATGTGTCTCAGTTAAAGTATTTCAGGTCCTCTGCATGTCCAGCACAGGGTGAGAGAGCCAGAAGATCTGCCTCTGCCTGCTGTGCACCGCCACCAAAAGGTCATGTCCTACAGGCAGCCAGTGTGGGCAGAGAGAACAAGCAGATCCACCTTCACCTTCAGGGAGCTGCCACCAGAAGGCTCCTTCCTGCAGGCGGCCAGCAGGAGCAGGGACACACAGCCAGGTAAGCCCTGTGTAGCCACAGGCCACCATTGGAGGCCCTTGGTTCCCTCAGGCAGCCACCACCCACTCGCAGAATCAGACAAACACACCCCTGTGTGTCTTCCATTATTGTGGGAGTCCCAGTATGGACACACAGGCTGAGAGAAGCAGCTCCAATTGCACGCACTCCTGATCATCAGCGAAGCCACAGTATAGCTGCATAGGTCTGGAGAAGCCCACTCCATACCCTGCTATTTCCCTATAAATCTGGAATTGGAAAAATCCGGGTGCTTGTCCCATCCCCCTACATTGACTAGGGGAAGCCAACATGGAAAGTGCTTGGAGCCCCACAACCAGCTTGCTGGGAGGAACCCAGGAGAATGTCAAGACGAAGGAGCAAAAGGCAATCTCAGACCTTAGCCCACACAGAACAAGTCTGGGAGATAAAGTCATGGAAGAAAACAGAAGTCACACACCTGACTCTGAGAGGACAACAACTGAAGTAAGGAAACAATTTGCATGAGATTGTTAAAGTAGTCAAATCAGAAATAATGTCTCAGGTAAAAGAAGAAATCACGAACATACTGAAAGAATTGTTCAGCAGGTCTAAAGAAGACATCAACAATAAAGAGGAGCATAGGAAAATGATGGAAACCTTGAATGAATGTAGAAAGGAATAAATGCATGAAACAAATTCAAAGAGATACAGGAATTTAAAAATTCAATCGAAAGCTGGCAAAACCACTTGAAAGAGATTGAAGATAGACTTTCAAATCTTGAAGACAGGATTGCAGCTAGTGATCATGAAAGGAAAGATCTCTTAAAAATAACACAGAATCAGGAAATACAATGGCTGTAAGATGAGGAAAAGAAGCAAAATTTAAGTGATAGGTATCAAAGAAGAAGCAGGGGTCAACAAAATGGAATTAGAAGG